GTGGTGCTTAGTTGCTGGCTGGGGCTAAACCACAACACCCTCTCACAAGATGAGTGGGTCACAAGCGCACCCCCCTTTCCTAGGAGTATGCGTTCCCCTAGTTGCAAGCACCTCCCCTAGAAAACATGAGTGCTCTAGCTTTAGTTGAGCCCATGCCACTTCCTGCAATGTGCTGATCCACACGCCAGAGATAAGGCATCCTAATTCACACACACACATCTTACAGGGGGGACAAGGGAGCCTCCTTCTTGAACCCCGTACTGACAATCCACTAGCCGGATGCAGACTCCTCATGGCATCTCCAAGAGGAAGGCTACGCTCTCTGGTCTAGGCAGAGATTGTGGTGCCCAGGGTGACTTCTGGAAGCACCAGAGCAGGTTTTGACAACTGCTGCTTCCAGACTAATGTCTCCCCCACCCTGTTATAAATTGTCTTGATTCTTTTATGCTTGGTTTTGGGCTTTTCTACTTCTTTATTTCAAAATTCTCTTTGAGATTCTCCAGTTACTGTTCAATCTGACTGACAGTACTCCCTAACACTATCATTTGGTAGGCTTCCTCTTTAACTTGATCAGCTCGAGGCAAAGACCCTCCACACAGTTTTGTGTACCCACGAACACACTCGGTACACTCACACTGTTATCTTAACAGGTGTCATTATCTAGGCTATTTGCCAAGGGCATCCCACAACATAATATTTATTTATGAAAAAGCAAGAACAAAAGCTCAACAACTTCCTTAATTAATTTTTTACATTAAAAAATCACATAGTCATCTTCCCATTCTCTGTAATTATGCAATATCATTGTTCTGCTAATAAAGAATAAGAGGTACCATGTAAAAAGGAAAACAGTAGCTTATAGCACTGGCACATTTTCACGATGTCAATTTCTTTTTTTTATGCTGAATAACTATGGACATGCCCTTGCCAGCAACGTATCATATGCAATGATGGCCTTTCAGAAACAGGTCTCATTCGGAGAAACACATCATTTTCTGCTGGCTATTATCTTCTGCTGATTACTTGCTAGCACAACTTGTAACACTTTGGGTCTAATCTAACCCCTGCAGAAGTCAGAAGAAATTGGGAGACCTTAAAATATTTAGCTAACTGATTTGTGGAAGCAAAATCACTGCAGCCTGTCTCAATAAGCAAAGATGTTCTCCGTGGTAAGAGGTATCTGTTTCAAAGTATCCAGAGAATCAAAACCCCACTGAAACCAACCTCGCCTTCCACCAAGGTAAACCACCATTTTCTGACAGTAGTTATAGGCCTTGCAATCTACAAATTAAATTCCAATTTTTCCCAGAAACGATTTCCAGAAATGCTTTATTGAATAATGATTGTACAGCTATTTTTGTTAAAAAAAAATATATTCTGCATTGAAATTACAAGTTTCAATCGTTTGCCCATATCTTTTAAATCAGAATGCTTTGCATCCAGACATTTGCTATCACTAATAGGGCTCCTGGTGCATTGGAAAGGAAACCAACCATTTTTAAGCTTCAACTGTTTTCATTTCATGTATCTTTGACATTTCAGCATCCCACATATTCCCAGTTAACACACTTAAAATTTCAGAAGTTCATTCTCCTGTGGCTTCAGTTGGTCCTGTACGTGAAGTACAGATCTCAATGTGAAAGACAGCAATACAAGCAATGACGTTCTTGTGTATTTAGTTCTGCAAATATGAGAGGCAAAACAAGATATCTAGAAAAAAAAATGGGATATATAAGCAAATCCAGGAATAAATATGTGCAATACATTGAAAATTCCAATTGTTATGGTATTTTTCAAAAATGTTTTAACATTTAGCAAACAAGGGAAATTGGAACAAACTAAAAGTAAAAGTATCTTTTCAAACGGTATACAATGTTTTATTCTATTTCTTAAGAACTGTCAGACTATCTTTTCTTGCAGTGGAGAAATGTTCACAATATCTGAATGTGTGGATAGATGCAGCAGAATAGCTGCCCCTTCCAATGTCAGCTCACAGGGACTTGGAACCCACAGCTGTCAATAATGGTGTGTGGAAGCATAAAGGAGTAAGAAACATCTGTCAGTACTCACTATTTCTGCACTATGTCCTCTGAAAGTATGATAACATTTTCCTGTTTCCGTACTCCACAGTTTGCAGGTCTTATCAAAAGATCCAGTGGCAATCTTGTCACTAAATGGAAAAAATCTTGTCACTTTTATTTAGAAAAAAACTTCTGACTTCAAAGACAGTAGAGCTCACAGAAACAATACCCAGCCATTGAAGAAGGTTGCATGCATTTTGGTACATTCTGCTGCACTACGAGATCCTGGAGCAGGACTTCACAAACAGAAGTCATGTTAAAGGAAAAAATTAGCAGACATAATTAGTTTCTAAAACAGCCCCTGTGCCTATCTATTAGCACAGAAGTGTTCGTAACAGGTGACTAACCTACATTAGGGATGAGGTTATCCGCTGTACTTCCAGATGTATTTATAAGTTATGTAATTTCATCAGATAGCATCTGTTTGTTTATCAACAGTTATAAACTCTTTTTATAAGCAGTTTACCCAAATTTCAGGGGTCGAACTCTACTCCCATTGAAGTCAGTGGAAGCGTTGTGACCAACTGCAGTTAGAGCAAGACTGAAGTGAGTTACCCAGAAAATGTAGCAACTTTTAAGACTAGCTCAAGGTTCTCATCAGATTTTTGCTCGCTATGTATTGCTTTTCTAGTTTTACGTTACAGTTTAGTTATTAATCTTTGCACAGATTTTTGTCATGCATTAGTTTCTTAAAAGTATATAAGAGAGTTTCATTAATTGCTTTTTTAAAGCAAAGAATAATATCAGAATATAAGACATCGATATAGCGAGTTCTAGGTTGGATAAAGTGTTTTCATTTAGAAGGAAATGATGATGCTCCAAAAAGTGTAAGAACAAGACTTTAACATTTATTTCTTGATATTAACTGTGTATTGCTTAAATGATAAATAGGACATCTGACAGTGAAAGAAGTAATGTGATTCAATATAAAAATAGGAATTAATTTCTCTTTTTTTGCAGAGAAGAAAAATGGTTTACTTAACATGACAGCTTCCTCAGGAAGCAAATGACAATGAAACTTCAGTAGCTAACATGTAATTCCCTTTACCTAACAGGTGGCAACTCTAACCTAAGGCAAACAGTTATTCCAGAAAACAAAAGATGCACAGAATCATATTTGACATTCATACAGCGGCACCCTGTGGATTTTATAAAAATTACTCAATAGCTGTGACACTTCTAAAGCATGTCCTAAATAATAATGAAAGTGTAACACAAAATAGAGAAATGCACTTTTGTTATGACAGAAATGTTCTTTCTCCTTAACTGAAGCAACACAAGCTGTCGTAAGTACTTATATCTCACATCATATACAAGTACACGGAGGCAGTAAAGAATGATTCAGAACACAACCTGGTCATGTAGATATTATTGAAATAGCTCTGTGTTTCAATATATTAAAATGACTCATATGTGTATTTTTCAAGACACTGAATACCTAATAAAATGTATGCTTTGAATTTCTAAATTTCTTTTAAAAAAATTATAGCAGAAAACATGCTTGAATGTATCTCATATAAATAATATGGATGTCATCCCATGGTGATCAGCTATACTTGAGCTTTACAAATTCAGAATTTGAACTCTTTCAATTTGAGACAGAGACATGTTAAAGCTTAGGTGATAGTTCTCTATTTGCAAAATAACATGATAAGCAATTATGATCTATCTCAAAGAAAATATATTTACCCATAGGGATTATTGAAAGCTATTGCATAGACAACATTTCTGTGCCCCTCCAGCGTACGTAGCTCTTCTCCTGATGCAGTATCCCATACTTTGCAGGTTCTGTCATAGCTTCCAGTGATAAAGCTAAAGCAAAGAGAAATTAATTTCTGAATACAGTGAATATCTTACTGGTCCTGGTGCATAGTCAAATGAGTTATTTCCACAGATTTCAGTTAGCACTGTCTAAGACCCTAAAATCCCTTCTTTCTTTCAGAAATATAGGTTAATGACTATAGAGGTTCCTTTTCTTTTTCCTGCTACTTTTTTGCATCTCCCATTGGTTCTCCCACAGAGGCCTGAAATCCAATCCCCAGTCGTGCTTGAAGCTGCTTATAAGCAGCACAGCTGAATTCTTTTTGCAGAAAGATAAAAGCACAGAAATTCCCTTACAATGCAATTTACAAATACAAAACTTCAATTAGTGATTATGTATTTTGACTTTGAAAACAACTTACCGGGAACCAGATTTGTTAAATGCTACATTAGTCAGTGGCAATATATGTGCTCTAAGTACCTGAAATACAAGCAGGGGCGGGAGAAGAAAACAACATTTGATGCAATTAAAAAAACAAACAAACAAAACCAAAACAATTGCTCAAAATATTTAATAGGTTAATATTTTCTCCTCCAGTCAGATTAGCAGTTACAGCTGTAATACATTAATGCCCAACTAAAAAGTCCCCTATGCCTCAGCAGGTTAGCACTGCAGATATTATATAGTATTGATTTCAAATTTATATTTTACTTGAATGAACTGTCTTTTCCTCCATGTTTGCTTTTTCTTCACCTTCTCTGAGACCAGCAAAGTAACCCGAGACCACCAAAGTAACCCTAGACCAGAGCTGAAAGTGCAAAAACAAATAAGTGGGGAGACCATGCCGGGTGAGATCACTGATGAAAGAAATCCTAAATAATATTAAGCCTTATATAGTGATTCAAGAGATCCAGCCAAATTTAGTATTTTGAGTCTTTTAGGTAATGGGATGCTTTCAGCTGGTATATGATTTTTTTTTTTTTTTAAAAACAGGAAGAACAGACATAAGTTACATCTACATCCTATGAGGTCATGACAAAAAAGGCATGCAGAACCATAACAAAGATACTTATCAAGACAAAATTCAAAGAAGGAATTTCAAATTTGATGTCTGCCTGTATGGAGGTCACTGTTTTTCTAACATTGCTTCTAAGGTCCTTTAATCAGACAGTATATATGTTTCATGTAAATTATCTCATACCCATAATAATAGATATTAAGGTTTATTAAGCATAGGTGAAAATGGTTTCAGATACTGCCAATGAAAGTCAGCGTGCCATGATACTTTGAAAATGACAGAAAAAAAAATATAATCTGGCTTGTTTTTTAATAAGGTGGCTACTGTATAACAGGATTTGCATTTGAACAACTTTCACCTATTACAAGCTGGCTTCTGCTAGAGTCTAAAGCATAATAAAATCATAACCTGGGAAGTCACAGCAATTGCTGACAGTGAAGTAAAGGGATGTTAAAAATACAGCAGTGGTCCACTAGGTCTTCTCTGTAGTGTAAGAATGAAGAAATGATTTATGAGCAATCCCATTTAATCACTGACATATTACCAGAGCTTCAACTTTTTGTTCTATCTCTAACTTTCTCAGCTGCCTGTCTCCAAAGGAAAATGAAAGGAGCTCAGAGATCTACTCAGAATAGTAGGGACTGATCAAAATGGAAGAGAAATAACAGTGGTCAAGTGAAGGACTGGGGGAGAGAGAAACAGAACAGGTATTATGTTAGAGAAACAGCAATTTCTGTTATCTACAGAAAGTAATAACACAAGTTGTACTTTCTGCTACAGCAGTGGGAATGGGCAATCAAGATGTGAAAATGACAAAAATATTTTGCTTTCTTTTAAAACAGCCACAGTATACAAATATCTGCATATGAGAATGGATAATAATGGAAATTTATGGAAATTTGATCCAGGACATTTTTAGGGCTCCATGCAGGCAGCTCTGAACAACAAACATATTTAACAATTATGAAAAAAAAAAAAGGAGGAAAATGAGATGGGTTTATGCTCAATTTCAGATCATGGGACTAATTCTGTTCTTTCTATGCCCAGTGGTGCAGTTGCTTCATCCACAGAACTCTAAGCCAGCAAGAATTGCTTGTGCAAATGATACAATAATCAAACCCTAAGGCAATATTAAAAAAATGTACCTCAGTTTTGCAAAATCTGCTATAGTAGTCCCTACAATAAAAGTCTGCAAATCACTACAGCATACCATTGCTATGTAATAGTTTAAAACCTGAGAAATTGTTACAAAAGCTTGCTTCTCTGCAGGGTGCCTAACACAACACCATCACTACAATTACTGGAAATAACAAAAAGATAGGTTTATACACTCATTGGAGATTACACTCCAGTGCAACAGAAAAAATACTGATTTCCAAACAATGCAAACACATGGAACATGGGGGCAGGGGGGGAATCGCTCTCCCACCCACCTCTTGTATTTTATTAGTATCTCAGAAGCACCTGATACTCGTGTTTCATTTTCAAGCATTAAATGGAACTGAAATATAAAACAAGTTCTTTTCACACACTTCTAACTACTCTTCAGTGAAGGAAATAAGCCAGCACTGACTGGATTTGCTTGCTTCTAGTATTGCCAAATACAGAAGCTCAAATGTGGCACCACACCCAGCAAAGAACAAATACATTATTTACACTGAAATTTGGACAAGCATTTGATGATTTGTCAGTCTCTGTGATGAACAAACAATTTTAAAAGCTTGTGAAAAGCAAGGCATTGTTGTAGTTGAGACCATACCTTAAAACAGAACAGACACTTTTTGAATTTAAGATGCCTTATTACATAGCTCTGTTTTCAAGGTTAAATACACAGATCTGTGCAGAATTCACCCAGATGTGTACTGTTGGTCAAAAGAACCCAAGTTATATCTAGCAACATGTAAGGAATTTTTTTTAGCCAAACAAACCAACACAAAACTTCTCCCTTTTCTCACTAAATTTAAAGTAACAATCAGAAACATAGCACTGACCCACAATTTTTAACAGCTACACATTGCCATCTGCTGACACAATAAAGATACAACACTTAATTATTTCAGATTGCAACATGCAATTTCTGGAAGCAATTTTATTTATATTTCCACAATTAAATACAAATAAACCTATTCTCTTTTGATAGACTGAATCCTGGATTTGAAGTCCTGAAAGGTCTCTCTAATAATTGCTCTTAAAAATCTCACTCATTTAAAATAAAATTACAAGGTGCTGTCTGTAAGCCGAAGATCAAGCTATCAATTTTCAAACATAATAGTAATGGCAGAACGTAATGACAACCAATATTACTGTATGTAGCAGAATACCTAAAATAAACACAGTTTTCACAAAATGAAAAATAAGTAGACAAGGGTATGAAAATATTTTGGGACTTTCCCAGCAGCTAATTTACTTGGGGTCTATTTACAGGTTTTATTTAAACATAACTATGGGTGTGGCTGTTCCACAGAGTCTTATTTGACAAATAAGAGAATTATTTTTCTCCATCCAAAACACACCCTTGTACATAAGCCTGTGTAAACAGTGTCTAGGAACAGTTCTACCTCCTAGCCTTTTGGGGGAATTCCTGACAGACATAACCAGGCCAGACTCAGTTGCTCTAAACAGTGCAGAGGTGATTGAAAAGAAGCAAGAAACTGGTCATAAAATTCAAATTTTGCTCTCAGGCACAATATGCAGCAGTAGAAACATATGCACACCATCACAACTGAAACCCCCCAAAATCCCCCAAATTATTTTAAAGATGCCTCTGACCTTAAAAAGATAGAACTTGTGATCCTCTTTTTCCCCTAGCTTCTCTTGCAATCTTTGTACTAAATGTATGACATGTTCCTTGCACGAAGCTGTGATGAGAGGTTCTCCTTTTCGAATTTCTTCTACTAAGGCAATGGCATCTGTGCTAATTATGAGAAAAAAACGAAACAAACAAACAAAAACCAAACCCACCAGTTTTCATCCTCTGGAAATAATTATGATTATAAAAACAAGAATATTATTTACTTGCAGAGAAACTGAAGTAAGCAATTCAATGATATACACTTATCTCATTCTGTAACGGCTTAAAGAAATATGGATAAATCTTTCTTGGTTTCTATACTTCCCTCTCTTATTAACGTTGTTCAGTAAGATTCAACTTTTAAAAATTTTAGTTTGGCAAGAACTTTACCTTGTCAAAGGGTTTCCACAGAGGGTAAGACATGGGAGATGTGTATTCAAAACTGATAGTTTTGGAACAAAGATCTAAAGTAGAATTCCATAAATTCTGAATGAATTGCCCATGAAGCAGCAAAAATCTATGCCTGTTCCTATAACTCTTACTTATGATAATAACTTCCAAAACATGGTCTGCAGTCTGATTCCTGGCCATCCGTGAGAAACTGAGGGTTGACGGTACCCAGCAGTCGAAGAACCGACATATACTTAAAACTGGTCCTAGCAAGAAAAAGCTAGCATTTCTGTTAGTATGTAAATTATTGCAGTCTAAAGGGGATTTTCTATATCAGTCCTCTAAATGGGAGCCACTAACATCCCCGTAAATTAGTATCCTCTCAGTGTTTATACTCCTGTTAAGTAATACCAGACAACTTATTTCTTTCATAAAGTGACTCATTAGGATTTATCCAGAGTACTGAGCTGGACATTTCCAGGTAGACAAAAATAAACAATTTAGAAATTTGCATTATTCATCTTGCATGTGCAGCCTACGTTGTCTACTAACTTCAGCCCACATGCAAGGATTCTTCCATATCAATGTCAATATTAAGACAATCATATTACTTCATGCCCTTCTGCCTAATAAACTCTAAGGATTTCAGCAGCTTTATTCAATGGTGGCAATTTTTTCCTCTTTCTGAAGCTCTTCCTACCAGAGCTGGCTGAGTAGAGCACGTAGGCTGACTTCTATGACCAAAACTATACTAAGTCTCTCAGCTTTCTTTTAATTTTTTTCTTTTGGGTGCCTAGAACTGGAGAAAAGCAAAAGAAATAGTTTGAGAGCTGCATAAATCCTGATAAACTTTCCATGGTGTTTGATGGCAGCCAAAAAGTTCTGTGAAAAAATCCACTAGATATGACATGCAAAATTGTGAAGTGTTCCATATTTTTTATGTGTACAAATAATTGATGAGAGGAGATGAAGCAGAGGGAGCCAGACTTTTTACTGCCCACTGAGAGGACAAGCATCAAGGAGCACAAATGAAAAAAAGAAAAAAGAAAAAAAAAGAAATTCAATCTGAACACAAAAATACACTTTTTTGCTGTAAGGGTGGTCAAACACAGGAACAGGTTTCACAGAGAGGTTGTGGAGTCTCCAACGGGGAGATATGCAGAATCCAACTACACATGGCCCTGGTCAACCTGCTCTAGCTGACCCTGCTTTAGATGGTTTCAAGATGTCCCATCCAACCTAAACAATTCTCTGATTCTGTGGCATACCATTATATTCTGTCACTGAATGCACAAAATAGCCAGTCAAATAACCTCTCAAGCACTGGTGCATAAATAACATGTAGCAGCATTAAAGCTAATTCAGCATAGTAACTTGTCAATTCAACATTTTCATTACAACAAATTCGTCCTATTCTTCACAAGGAAGGCATAAGAGAGTTTCAGACTGGTGCCTTCCATCTGAAAACCAGAGCCAGATGTGATTGAAGATTGTCCTCCACATAGCAAGTCTCACTTGCTTCCTCATGAAGTGACCTCTGCTTTCTATCTTGCCTAAAGATACCCTATCAAACTTAAATCTAAACTGGACTTTGAAATACATTGGGTTTTTTTTTTTATTCTTCAGTGAGGCCAATCCCTGATTTTTAGATATATCAAGCTCCTGCAATTTCTTTCGTCATCTGTAGGAGACTAGAAAATCAGACTATGCACTCTTAGTTGTTCTTTTGAAGGACCCAACTGCAACTAGTTTTGCAACAAAAGAAACGAGAAAACTTCCATTACTTGCAACAGAAGCACGTACTTAGTTTCTCCACGCAAACATATGGGAGGGAATAACTTACTTCCCTGTCTTACACCATCTTACCTATGGTTGTTATGATTAATTAATTAACAGAAGAGATCTGAACTGATACCTAGTTGTTATTTTCAGTGATTTCAACAGAGGTCATTTAAACCAATGTAACTGGGGACTGACTTAGACCCACTTTTTGAAAACATTCTCAAGGCCAGAAATGCTATTACAGGACCCAAGAACTAACTGTCATTCATCACAACATTACAACGTTAAGCACTGTACATTTCTGCTGGCTTGTACAGGCATCTTGATAATCATAACTCTATAAGCAAAAAGAGACTTCACCTCTGAACAGAAAAGCATGACAGTAATAATCAGCTGGAATGCAAGATTCTCTATTTAAAATAGTAGGAGAATGATTCGACTATGTTATTTTCTTTTCTGTGTGTATTTTAGTGAAACAAGACATAACTGACCTTAATTATGTTTAAAACAATCAAATAGAGTTGTATCTGAGCATGCTATAAAACAGCAGATTGCTGTTATCTGAAATAATATCATACTTACTCAGGTCTAAGATTAAGTAGATCTATAGATCTGGTCTTTGGCTCACCACCTTGTACATATTCCAGAATAATTCCTGATTAAAAAATGTGATAAAAAGGTCTAAATTAGATATCAGGGATTTTATAACACACACTGTAGAGTGCAATGCTTCCACTTTTATTGCTCCAATGACTTCAGCAGACCTAATTCCAGTTCTTGAAACCAGAAGGATGTTGGCTGTTCTTGCTGAGAGTTAGCAGAGTGACGAACAACTCTGATCTGTTTATATGATAAAACTTATTAAACATTATTATTTATGAGCCATTTTCTATTCTGGAAATGAACCAGCTTTTTTTTCCCCAACAACTTTTTGCATGATTTCATCAGCTCTATTTTCAAAAAAGCTGTCCTGAAGATACTTGCTGTAGTTTGGTGTTCCAAGAAGCCTGGAAGGCACGTTTTACAAAACCTGCTATATTTCTTTCAGTGTTTGCAAAAGCCTTTGTGCAGTGATGTATAGAAAATTGTAACACACTTTCCATTTCCAGGTATGCTCTGGCATCTCTGCACCTTCTACTGAGCTGAAATATTAAAATGTTTAACCGCATTGCTTCCTGTTTTGAAACAGCTGTTAAAGAGTTCTGCTTGTCCTTGGTTTTCTGTGGGAAAGGATAATTTAGACTGTCATTTTGCATTTTACCAAGTCTGCAAGAAAAATATTTTATTTGAAAGAAAGATCTGTTATTACAATACAGTTCCTGAGCCGGCCATCTCCATCTTTTTTCACTTGTGAAAATTCATTAAGTCTCCTGACTGAGTTCACAATAAATGATGAAGATCGCTTAGTGGAATAGCTTTTCAAAGCATGGTTCTGCTCAGAAAAGTCACAAAACAAAGAAAGGAAAAATAAGAAACACAGCAACTTTTTGCTAAACAGGCCTTTTGATAACACATACATGCCTTTTGATAACACGTATGCATTTTTTTGGTGCCTACTACTGCTACTTTTGACTTTTTCAACTCCTTACCGCGATGCAAATAAGACTGCCTTGATTTCGCAGTGATAAATCATCAATTACGGCTCCGATCGGCAATGA